TATATATGTGTGTATATACGAAATAGTTACGTAACGTGTATGTCGACTAAACATTATAGCCGCATTTTGTTACCTTGCTCTTTCTTTTTATACATTGCATATACACACACATTAAAGCTGTACCAGTGTACGTGTATATGGATACACATCTAACAAACGGTATATATGTACAAGGATGTGCTTCGCAAAATCCTATCTTTTCGCCGCGACTAATTGATAAACACGTAAACGAGAGAGATCGATGCTCCCGGTCAAAAACCGCGTCGGAAGCATGGAGCCTCAATTATTCGCAAAGATTCTTCTTTTCGTTTACCTAGTAAAATTAAAATAAAAAGATTGCATTAAAATCGCAAGATTATTGTGCGATATTCATATCTTTGTGCGATGATGGTCAACAAACGATAAAAAAAAAATCGTTATGTAAAATATCTCGGAGATTCTTATGCGATTAGTGTACAAATCTTATAATCATCATCGATAGTTATAATTGATTTAGAAGCGTAATAAATTCTTTCATCTATGAAGAGACTTAGACGTTACGAATCGTACATAACACCTTACATACCAAATACTTCGGTGTTGCAGGTTGCACCATGGGATCCTGTCGAATTATAAGCTTTAAGAAAAAAAATTAATTATAGCTTAATTTTTCATACAAATGAAATAGAGTTTGAATACATTCTGTTCCTCGGTAGATACAATTTTTAATACGATTAATAAATTAACCGAAAAATAGACCTTAAATATTTGCTTAGTGTATACAGTGTTGTAAAAAAAATCAAATACGACTCGAAATATATAATTCTCCAACGTGGATTCATCAAACATTCTTCTATTGATAATGTATTAATAAATTTGTCTCTTTTATCACACTTATCTTTTTCTTTTTTCATAAAGCGTGTATCTTTCGCAAGGTAATTTTCGTAATTTTAGTTTGCTGTTACATCAATTTTCGCGTTCTTTGGTTCAAGAATACAAAGGGTGTCTTTGCATCAAATTATTATCACAACATAATTCAAGATTCGTAGATCACTTTCTCCTTTTTCATAATACATTATACAGTTTATTTATTTATGAATAACTTTGAAGAATTTTAAGAATCGAGGATTAAGAATACTATACTTACCGATTCGCAAGTTTCGCAAACGTAAAATCGAATTTGAAATCGGAGTCATAATTATTACAACATCGACGATGATTATTTCGAGAAGCGCTGTATCTTTCTAATGAGATCAAGTGATTTTACATATATTGAACCGTAAAAAATAATCGATAACTTCTAATTAAAACATCTTACATAAGAGTAGCAGAGACAAATACGTGACTCGAGCCTTTGGTGTCTAACAATTTAAACAAACTATTTCTCAATGTTACATGTTACGAATCGTCGTCTCCGCTCATCTAATGTGTATGACACACATACGTCTATTTGTACTACTACCGAATGATGTTTGTCTCTCATTCGTAAGCGTAATAAGGAGCCCATAAACTTATATAATAGATGCCATCCAATGGGAGATCACGAGCTTCCTCGTAGTCTAAAGTTGCAGAGACTTTTGAAGAATACAATTGCTCGTTGTATCTTTCATTCTTCGGCCGGAGCCTGCGCTCCCCCACTATCCTCGCGATTGCCACTGGCTTTTTGTTCTTGCTCCTTTTGTGCTTTGGCTTCTGCATCTGTAAATAGAACATTGACACATTGCAACTCACCTCAATCTTGTTAAAGCTAAATAAGCTAAATAAGCTGCATATCTGTACAGACAGAAACAAGATTCTCATAGTTGTGCCGAGGACTCTTTGTCGAAAAATAATTCTCTTTGTTTTCAAGCGATTAATTTAAATGTTTAAATTTATTTAAATTACATGATAACATACCTCGAACTGCTTGTTCCTTCCAGATCTTTTTATTTTCTGCAAGACACGAAATCCAAGGTTTGTCGATTTTGAACCTTCTATTTTCCCCTTCTAAACATAATTTATTAGTTGATTAAAATTCGTAAATCAATTTTTAGAAATTACACTTTTCCGATATAATTTAATATTAATTAACAAGAGAGAAAGAAAATTTCCAATTGCAATTATTTAAAGTTACGCAATTCAAGTATTTTTAGCATATGGGCTAAAAAATAATTTTACCGCTGCTAGGCTCGTCTGCGGTATCCTTGACATTAAGCGGCGCAAGAACGGTTTCCAGTGTATCACTGCATACTTGCATGCTAGGCTCAACGATAAATTCTATGAATCCTATTTGAGATTCAGCTACCAATGTGTTGTTGCGATCGCATAGAGGAGAAAATGGTAATCCGAGCTCTCTCTCCTTGTCACCTTGTCTGAAAAATTCTTCGAGAAGTTGCATCGTCCACCTGTGCATTCAAAATTATCAACGTCATTTACATATCGTTAAGTGTGACGTAAAGATTGCTATTTGTTGCTCTTATTTATTAGCAATTAATACGTTTTTATTGGAGCTTTTACAACACATTATATTACCTTTATTGCATCTTAAAAATTCAGTAAAATTCTTTAGTATACAAAAAATTTCGTAAAAGCAATTTTATGTTTCGGCAATAATTTTCAATAGATCGAGTTTCACATAAAAATCGAACGATATAAAAATTGCTGATATTCTTCGCGAATAAAAGGATCTTCACCTATGATGAAGATCCCATCTTTTGGCAGGATGTGAAATGTCGCAGCAATGGAGAACCAAACTAACGGCTTTGCTCTTATCCACGCTTGGTTCCGCTAAAGTTAATAGATTCTTCATATTCTTCAACTGTTGAAAATGAAAACTCATATCGGTGGCAAGAACCATGTCGATCACGAGCGAGCGAAATTCTCGGAATTCCTCTCTCGACAAGTTCTGTAATATGTTGCACTCATCTTCTCTAAGTATCCTAAAATATTGTAAAACATTGGCATTATAGGAGGATATTAATGCTATTTTTCTAACGTATGCATCTATAATACAATATAAAGAATTTTGATTTTGTTGCATTTTCCTTATTTTCTCTCTCTTTCTCTCTCTCTCTCTCTCTCTCTCTCTCTCGCCCTTTTTTGTCTATGTCTATCTATCTATCTATCTATCTATCTATCTATTTATCTATCTACCTATCTCTCTACTAGAAAAGACAGTTATTTAAATCGAAAAAACCTAAGAAAAAATTTTTAAAAGATTGTCTAATATTGTTTATTACGCGCGTATGTTTTCAATAGATATTATTAAAATTCTTAATTTTAATTAAAGTCTCTTTTTAGTAATTCTTAAGAGATAAGATTTGTCTACAATTTTCCGATATAAACTGTTCGAGAGAACAAAGCCAATCGCAAAATCAAGTTTGCGCATACCGGAAGCTGGCCGAGATGTGATAGTTTTCCAACACGGCACGATCATTATACAGAAGCGCTGTATCGCTCCCAGACATTACATGGAAATTGTTTGTGGTCCCAGTGTGCTCATAATCGTGAATAATAGCTGCCACGAGAGTGGCAAAAATTTCGAGATCGGTCAGCCAGTTCTGCAACAAGTAATATAATCAGCTGGAGATAATCTCACGTTAAAAGAATCGTCGAGGGAACGAATAGTAGAGGATGAAATCGAGCAGAAAGAATACCTTTTTTTGCTAAACTAATCAACCGATGGAGATCTCGTTTTCTTTTCCATTATCTACATCGTATCTCATGATTTTTACTCTTTTAAAGACGAGGAGATATCACGAAACGAGATTTTTTATTAATATTCTTGCCGGAAAGTGTACATTTATACTAATTGTATTTATATTAATTGTCTAATACTTTACACGTGCAAGTAAATTAAAGAATAATTTATAAAACATGAAAAACTTGGAGGAATATTTTCACTTTAAAAAATTATTAATTTTATAATAATTACTCACGCAATCCCCCAAATATAATCAATCAAAATTAAAAATACATATTTATTGTCTATTGTTACACATATCGGGGATATATAATTCGAAAATAATGTCAAAAAAATTATATTAGACGTATATCTAAAGTATCTCTCCAGAGATATTCACCATCAAACCCGTTTGACATAGGATGTAATGCATCGTTTGCGCAACATCGGCAGCGTGAAGATTGTTATGGTATGGGTTTCGATGCCTGCAATATCCTTCTTCGACTCTTCCGAGAAAGCACTCCAGAACTGCAGGAGGTACTTTAAACTTGTGAATCATACCGTATCGATTGAGGAGATCGTAGCCCAAGTATTTCACCGGTGTGCCCAAGGCGGCCTCATTCAAGGAAAACACATCGAACGACCAATCGTCTAAAGTCTTAAACAGTAAAGCAATTTAAAATTATAAAATTTTAAGGGCAAGCTCCCCTCTCGCAATAACTTGATCAATCTCTACGATTAATTTACAGTCCTCTTTTCTCTAATTGACCGAGTAGTACGAGTAGTTTTTCATCTCTTAAATGGAATCAATGTATTATCACTGATAAGCGTAATTTCATTACAAGTATAGCATTGCGGTGAAATCTCACTGAGAAGAATCAATGAGTGACAGGGGCTGATTTTTCCGTAAAATCTTAGTGCCATAATCAATGAAACATAAGACGGAGGAGCAAAGGTTGATCGTTTTCACTGAAAATCAGTAAAGGACTCACATCTTGTCACAGCTTTAATCAATGACATTTTCACTAATTCAATTTAAGAAAACGATGAAAAGATGAAAAGATATTACCATATCTCCGAAATTTACCGAATTAAAATGTTAGATCAGATCAGACTAGAGAGACGCGTTGGATGCATTGTAAACTTTCTCCTTTTCGAGATTCATATTTCGTGATACATTCGTGTCTCGTTTCTTAAAAATTTACTCGCTTCAATCCAACTTTTCAACCACCGGCGAGGATTACCTTAAGCACTTTCACGACTTCCGGCGGAAATTGCATGAGGGCGGTATTCGTGACCCTCCTGTAGATCCGATCGACGAATATGCCCGCCCTGATGGCGTGCGCGACCGAGCGGAATTTCGGCTTCTCGTCAGCCTTCCGTCTCGTGGTGGCGAGCTGCCTGGTGAAAGTTGACGCCAACCACTCGCGTACTTCCGGCGGCACCGCGTCCGGCTGCACCTCTGACAGCTCATCGTCTTCGTCCGCCAGCCGTCTAAGGGAGGAAATCGCGGGACGCGATGTTAGATCGGCGATCAGCTGACGCGCTAACATATTCGGCACGATCATAATCCGGCCTACCTTCATTACACGCGTTCGATCGAGCCGAGACGCTCGATGTCCTCAAAAAAAAAAAAAAAAAAAAATGAGCATTGTACTAAAATTATTGCATTTAAGCTTGCTTTGCACCGTATAAATTGTATAAATCAAATTCGACTAATATCTATATTGTACTGTTCTATATTTGCTCGCTACGTTATTTTGCATCAATATTAATTTACGCTCCCTATTACGAAATGCGTCGGGAAAATCGTAATTCTATAGATTTCCAGAAACACGATTATTTATCGCTAATTTGCAGACCGTGAATACCGCGAACGAATTATGCGAAATTATTTTCCATTCACTCGTGAATCGCAAAGATGAATTGATGATTATGAATCGAGATTACGTTCGAGACATAATCGATATTCTATAGCTATGCTACATTTTATAAATGAGTAATACGAGATACACAGAATATATCCTAGATTTATAAAAAAGAATATCTCACCAAAAAATTTTTTAATGTTAAAATCTTTCATAATACATAAATTCGAATATATGTATAATAAGCCAAGTAAAATATTTTTAATATTTTTCTCATAACTTTTTAAAATTATATATATATATATATATATATATATATATTCTACGCGTAATCCTAACTCATTTCCTAAAGCGTTTACGCTACAATTAAATCAAGTATTTAAATATCGACAATTGATTCAACCAAAGTCATACCAATCACACCAATTTAACGAGAAAGTGCGAATTGGACAGAAATATAGCGTGAGTGTATATCAAATGAGTGAATTTGATGTGTGTTCGTATATATGCATATATGAGGATAGCGGAATGAGGGTTTTTGTAAAAATTGAACGATTCTAATAAACCGCAGCGTTTTTTCGAACGTGTTTGACTTCAAACCTGGTGCGGTGCACAGATCGCAGCAGTGATTTATTAGGCTTGAACGATAGCTAGGTCGGTTATTTTGGCAAATATAATTTCGATAATGTTCTTCAGTAAGCCAATATTATTGCAACGGTCAATAATAATGCAAAGAATAACGCTACAATCCGCGAAATGCATCGCTATTTCGTTTGAAAGTGTATCTCCGACGTATCCATCGATTTCGACTGCAGATTACACAAAACACAAAACATCCAGATATCGCTATCGGTGAGAAAGTGCGAAAATTTGGATTAATTGATACCATTAATAACACAATAATACAATTATAACAATTAGTTAAAATATTAAGAAAACATAATTAGTATGTTTTGTCCACGATATTTTATACATAGATGATGAATTATGGTAAATATTAGAATTTTTTGCCATAAACACTTATAGATTTAGTCATTCGTAGAAAAGCATCTGCATGCGCATCTCTTACATTATTAATCGTATTGTACTGTAGAGTGTCTCAGAAGCACAATCTATTCTTCCAACTACAGATATTTCTGTCACAAACTTTGCAAAAAGCTTTTATATAAACGTACACAGTTTATAAATAAATTTATATATACTGATAAAAATTTTTAATGTAAAATTAATTTTTAAAACAATAAAGACAATTCTCTATTTAGATGTTTCAAGCTTAATTTGTCTTTTACCTTTAAAATTGTTATGTCATAAAAACTTACGTAACTTTATCGAGTATCGAATAAAGTATAACCCCGTCTTATTGTTAGTGCGCCCTGCAATACTCATAATTAAAAA